AAAGAGGAGAGCTGAATTCAAGCTCCTTAGGAATCTTACCTTCCTAAAGCTTGAAAAAAAAAAAAGAAAGAGTCCATCAATAAAAAGTAAAGTGAGGCTATATTATGAAAATTCATTAAAAAACAAGTATGTCTGTAGTATGATTTTGGTAAACTGAAGTTCAGAGTATAGTTACTTATGTGTTTGTATAATTTATAATTCATATATTACTTAAAATAAGTCTCCTGTTAATAACTAAGTACATCCTCATTCTGAGCAGTTTCTATGTAAGAAGGGACCACACAATAGTAACAGTGTACCCATCAAGCAACACTGACCTCTCGTTTCCACAGCTTGAATGCATTTTCTCACAAAGTTGAACCCTGCTTCATTTAAGTACACTGAAAGTAAAAGAAAATCATATTAAGTGTTTATGTTGAACTTGTATTCCTGCTTCAGTTGGCTCTGTAGTTTCATGGCTTGATGGCACAGGGGTTGTTACTGAATTTATCAAGTATTTTGGTTAGCATATTAATTTTTATTTGGGGGTAGAAGTGAAGGAAGGAGGTTCACATTCACCAACGTTTTTATATCAACTTGCTTCATTAGAAACATAAATCTAATAATAAATATATTATTAGATATAATTAATAATTATATTACATAGCTATTCATATATTTTTTCCCATGAGATTCTCAAAACAACATTATAAGGTAGAGAGAAAGCTTTGCAATCTTAAGATGGTTCACCAAGTTGCTGAAAAGTGCTTTTCTTTGTTCTAAGATCTAGAGCCACATTTTAACTCAGGTCTCCTGAATTCAAGCTCAATGTTCTATTCTATTGCATTTTGAATCACATTCAAAATAATTCAAAATATGCTTAGTAAGTCCGCTAAAAATCCCCCAAAGATCCTCCATTATGAAACAGCAATTTATTTTCATTGCTTTTTGACAGATTTTCTTTAGATTTTTCAAATTTTCTTAAGGTTTGGGGGCCAGATCAAGTTAGATTACTTGTTTAAAGAGAAAGGATTTTAAAATACCAAACAACAGAGGAAAAATTTTAAAATTTTTTGATACTATAATAAAATTTTTCATCAGATGTGGTGTACATATTGTATTTCTTAATACTCCCAAATCATAATATATGAAGACAATTCAAACCAATAAAACATTAAAACTGGTTTCCATTTAAAGATGGTGGATGAAATACATCCATGTAACTACACAGATTCACAGACAAAAAAATATATATCAAAATATTATGCTAAAAAAAATAGGTGCCAGGAAAGACAAAAAACTTTGAAGAAATCCTAGACAACGAAAATCACTGAAACTGAATTGACGGAAAAGTTTGAGAAATCTGAGATTAGAAATGAGAAATCAAAAAACTAGAAGTACTACAATGCAATATCACCCCATACCTGTCAGAATGGCCATCATCAAAAAAACAAAAGAACAAAAACACGAGTAACAACTGTTGCCAAAGATGTAAAGAAAAGAGAATCCTTGTATACTGTTGGTAGGAATGTAAACTAGTGCAGCCACTGTGGAGAACAGTATGGAGGTTTCTCAAAAACCTAAAAATAGAACTAGCATATGACTCAGCAATTCCACTCCTAGGTGTATATCCAAAAAAACCCAAAATATTAATTCAAAAAGATACATGTATCCCAATGTTCACTGCAGCATTATTTACAATTGCCAAGATATGGAACCAACCTAAGTGCCCATCAGCAGATGAATGGATAAAGAAGATGTGGTATATATACACACAATGGACTACTACTCAGACATAAAAAAGAATAGCAGCAATTGGGTATTATGCTAAATGAGACAAGTCAGACAGAGAAAGACAAATACTGTATGATATCACTTATATGTGGAATCTAAAAAATACAACAAACTAGTGAATATAACAAAAAAGAAGCAGACTCACAGATATAGAGAACAAACTAGTGGTTACCAGTGGTTATCTGTGGAATCTAAAAAATACAACAAACTAGTAAATATAACAAAAAAAGCAGATACAGATATAGAGAACAAACTAGTTGCTACCAGTGGGGGAGGAGTGGGAGGTACAAACTATTGGATGTAAGATAGGCTCAAGGGTGTATTGTACAAAATGGGGAATATAGCCAAAATTTTGTAATAATATTGTAAATGGAAAGTAACCTTTAAAAATTGTATAAAAATTTTTTAAAAATTAAGAAAATCTAGAGGTACTGACTTAGTAGAATATTTATTATACGTTGTTAGGCAAAAAAAAGTAATCTATAGGACAATATAACCCCATTTCTTAAAACATAAAATTTGAGTGTTTGAATGTTTCTATTTTCCTAGGAAAAAGCTCTAGAAAGATCATGCAAATTGCAAGTAAGAAAGAAAAGGACAGAAGGTAGAAAGTGTCATTTTTATTCATTGGATTTTGTAACTATTTTATATATCTTTTAAATTAGTTTTTAGAAATAAAAAATAGATTTAAACATGTAAAAATGCCAAAACTAAAATATATATTGCTATCAATACAAACTGGCTTATTTATTTGTGTGTCCCCAGTGCCCTAGATGTCAAGGGAACAGAACTCAGTGAATGCTTTGGGTGAACTCAACATACAAGAATGAATGGCCATTAATCAAGCATCTTTCTAGAGCTGACTACCTACATGAGAGGGGAGCTTCTTTGGGCACCAAGAAGGGACTGCTTACTTCCAATAACCCAAAATGCCAAGCACAGCATTATAGTATGAATACATTCAGATAATTTAAAATATTTATTGAACATAGGGAAAAAAACAGGTAGAATGGAGAAGTAAGGAATCAATTATTAATTTTCATTTTTAATAACAGAAACTGAGCCAAAAAATGTAACCCTGGTAAAAATGATACACTAGCATTTTGTATCAATTAAAACTGCAAGTTCCTGACATTTATAACATTTGGTTCTTGAGGTCACATTTTTCAACTTTTCAATAAAAAGTATTAAAAGAAGGAGAAATCCATTTTTTAAAATTTCAGTAAAACCTGCCCTTGGCTAAATGAACGAAAATAATTGTGATATATAAAAACAGATTTTCTTTAAATATCCATTTTGAGAAAAATAAGTAATAACCAGGCTATATCTTGAAGGTATACTGGGATATTTGGTGGCAATACCCCATTCTATCCTAGTAAACCAGTACCACAGGCTAATTATGAAGAAGAAAATCTTACAAACATTCAGTCTGACTGCCAGGTCACTCCATGGGTGCCACTGTCCTGATGTGTCCCACGGACCTTGTGTTTTAGCTCTCTTCACGTGAGTAAATAAAACATTATCAATCAATTCAGAAATGTGAAAAAATGCACTGTGTTGGCAAAAATAACCATGCATTTTTGTTTTGTTTCCTTTGAACATCCTTTTCTATTGCCTGAAAGAGTATAGAGAGGTTCCGTGGTGCAGAGGTAGCACCCAGCTTTGCTTAGGGCCAGGCAAACCTGGGATGGATCTCAGCTCTACTATTTACTGCTGTGTGGATGGAAATGTGCCTATTAACTTTTATGAACTCTAGTTCTTTCATCTATAAAATGAGGGAAATAACAATACCTATGTTAAAGTGTTGTAGTAAGATGAAGACAAAATCCACATGAAGCACTGAAGAGTGGAAAACAAACCTAATCAGATGCTAGTTTCCTTCCCCATGTGCTCCTACCCACACATCACTGAGAAAAAGAAGAAACGGTAAAAAAAAAAAAAAAGGGTCAGCCACTAGTACTAACCAGATGAAAGAGACAGTACTTACTCTCCCATTTAGCAGCTGTATTACTGGACACAGTTTTAATCTCTCTCATCCTCAGATTCCTCTTCTATACAGTAAGGATAAGAGTAGTATTGTCTTCACCGGGCTATTCACAGATGAAATACCTTAACATTTGCAAAGCTCCTAGAATAGTACTTGGAATATAGTAAGTGCTACAGAAGGGTTGGCTGTTATCATCATCATCATCATTATTGAGAGGAGAATATAAAATCTACATATGTCAATCACATGTATTCTTGGGGCCTGGCTGAAGTCACAGGGGCTTGAGGTACTATCTGCCAGAAGTGTTATTTTTCAGAGGCATACTATATTACTTATTTTTAAAATATTTGGGGCCAGGGCAATGATCTATTTTTTAATATAAATTTATTTATTTATTTATTTATGGTTGCGTTGGGTCTTTGTTGCTGCGCGTGGGCTTTCTCTAGTTGTGGTGAGCAGGGTGTACTCTTTGTTGTGGTGCGCAGACTTCTCATTGTGGTGTCTTCTCTTGTTGCGGAGCACAGGCTCTAGGCACGTATGCTTCAGTTGTTGTGGCATGCGGGCCTCAGCAGTTGTGGCTCACGGGCTCTAGAACGCAGGCTCAGTAGTTGTGGCACAGGGGCTTAGTTGCTCCGTGGCATGTGGGATCTTCCCAGACCAGGGATCGAACCCGTGTCCCCTGCATTGGCAGGGGGATTCTTAACCCCTGCACCACCAGGGAAACCCACAATGATCTACTTCTTTAAAAAAAATGGAGATCAGGGCTTCCCTGGTGGTGCGGCGGTTGAGAGTCCGCCTGCCGATGCAGGGGACACGGGTTCGTGCCTTGGTCCGGGAAGATCCCACATGCCGCGGAGCTGCTAGGCCCGTGAGCCATGGCCGCTGAGCCTGCGTGTCCGGATTCTGTGCTCTGCAACGGGAGAGGCCACAACAGTGAGAGGCCCACGTACCACACACACACACAAAAAAAATGGAGATCAGGCATAAACCACTCAGGCCCTGTGAATCTAGCTGACCACTGAAGAGACAAGAAGTTGGATATTCACATATATGTCCCTATACTCTCATTAAACTTCAATAATCACAATGAACAAACACATCCTCTCATTGGAACGGAACTGTAGTGGCCTGGGAGTACTGTTCACTCATATTTGCTGCTCCTTCCTGCAGGAAGATTATGTTTCTCAGCTCCCTCTAAGACAGACTTGGTCATATGATATGCACTAGCCAACGAAATATGAATGGAAGTCACAAACGTCATTATCCATCAGCTAGGAAGAGCTGGTATGTATTGTGGAAGCCTGCCATTTCCCCCCCCCCTCTGGTACAAGATCATCAATGTTACAGAGAGAAGGTACTACGTGAGCTTGGGTTTTAGAGTAAAAATAATGTATAAGAGAATCACAGCTGACCTGAATGGACATATCGCATATTCAAGAGATGAACCTTTATTGTGGTTAAGTCTCTGAGACCACAGCATAACCTGGCCAGTTCTGATTTAACCATGTACAACTTAAACAGACTGTTATGGCAAAAAGGACTAAATGGAATAAAGCCAATCCCACACACTTCGCTTTTCCTCGCTTAACTGGTATTTATCCGAGTTTCTGGCTACTGATT